ACCTAGGTCACTCCGGGTATGAGACCGGAGAGCCAGTACTAAACCAACCATGCCACACGACCCACTAAAAGGAGTGTGCAACTAGGATCTAACTAGCTCCATCGACATTACCTATCTACTCATACATGAGTAATGATAGCTAGGTTTTACACACACTCCCTCGTGGGCACTCGGTGGAAATTGATTTAGAAATTCGAAACCGAAGTCAGATCTCCTGAGGTATATATATGAAAGATGGAATAATGCAATGCCACATTGATATAGATATATAACAATCCTCCCTGACCTGGCCTCGAACCTAGGTCACTCCGGGTATGAGACCGGAGAGCTAGTTAGATCCTAGTTGCACACTCTTTTAGTGGGTCGTGTGGCATGGTTGGTTTAGTACTGGCTCTCCAGTCTCATACCCGGAGTGACCTAGGTTCGAGGCCAGGTCTGGGAGGATTGTTATATATCTATATAAATATACATATATAAATATATAAATATTTATATATAAATATATATACATATATATATATATATATATATATATATATATATATATATATATATATATATATATATACATATACATATACATATACATATACATATACATATACATATACATATACATATACATATACATATATACATATATACATATATACATATATACATATATACATATACATACATATACATACATATACATACATATACATACATATACATACATATACATACATATACATACATATACATACATATACATACATATACATATATATATATATATATATATATATATATATATATATATATATATATATATATACATACATACATAAATATATAGGTATACATACAGATATGTATATATATATGGATATATATACATATATATATTCAGACACACACATACACACACACATCACATATATATATATATATATATATATATATATATATATATATATATATATATATATATATATATATATATATATGTGTGTGTGTGTGTGTGTGTGCATTTATATATGTCTATATGTATGTATGTATATGTATGTATGTATGTGTATATACATACATACATACATACATTACGAGTACTGCCTATCCCGCCCGTTTACCCTTTTCTTAGATTTATGAAAATATTTTACATTATCTTATTTTGCTATTACTATTGATTATAACATTATAGTAATTATAATGTTTATAATAAAAATAGTACCATCGATATTCATAGCACTAGTAAAAAATACATTTTCCCACCAATTCAAGGAAAGGTGAAATCAGGTAAGGCAGAGCCATCTATGTGTAGAAACATTTCACAAAAAATATAAAAATGAGCACAGCATTTTCCCTGTCACGAATGGGTTAATATACAAATACATACATACATATATATCTTTAATATACATATATATGTACATATATATACAACACGCATGTGAAATTCATGTCAAACAAATTGCAAGTAGAACAATGAAGGGAAGTACAGGAAAACACATGAATATGCCGTAGGCCTTTTCGCATTTACTGCTTCATCAGGGCATAAAGAACAAGAAATATATAGAGGTTTATATATGTGTACTTGGTGGTAAGGTCACGTCAGTAATCAGGTGAGCGCACGACCTTGGCTAGTTCATGGCTCCCCATTGCTGGGAGTTGTTAGTAGAGAGTGTGTATGCCGCTTCTACCATCTTCCTTTGTCGTGGGGGGAGGCCTTGTTTTATGATGGAGGCCTGGGATCACTTAGGGAGATGGCCATCTGTGTCAACTTGAACAACAAAGGCACTCCTCCTGTCATGTCGTCAGAGGGCGCTGCAATGTTAGTCAATTCATTGTTCATGGAGGCCTCGTCCTGGACACTGCAACGGGGAGCCATGAACTAGCCAAGGTTGTCGCTCCCCTGATCTCCCACGTGACCTGACTGCCAAGTATACGTATATATACTTCTATGTATCTCTTGTTCTGCATGCCCTGATGAAACAGTAAATGCGAAAAGGCCTTTGGCATATTCATGTGTTTTCCTGTACTTCCCTTCATTGTTCTACTTGCATGTACGTATGTATGAATATATATGTATAAATGTATATACATATATATATGTATATGCATATGTGTGTGTGTATATATATATAATTGTACAAACACATACATAATTCAGTGGAATATCATTTTAATGCTTTGGCCCTTGGAGCTGCCCCTATTTTAATTAAAATTTACTTGATCTTATAACTATTACTGTTATTAATTTTATTATATCTTTATTATTACCATTATCATCATTGTATTTGTATTTTTATTTTTATGTAGAATGTATATACACATTTCATTTCACTGATCAAGCTAAATAAATTTATGATAAAGACACAATTAAGAAATACAATTTCTTCTAAGAAGTAAAAAATGCAAGTGTTATAATGTAAAACAAAAAGATGTAGTTACATTAATGGATAATATTGAAAGTAAAAAACACTATGACACATAAACATACATAACACCTGCTACAGCTACAAAACAAACAGAGGAATGAATAAAGGCATGTGGCTAGTGACAGGCCAGGAATAAGGCAAGTTGGTGGAAGGACAAGATAAATTGACAAGCCATAAAAATCGCTTCCTGGGGCTGGATTCACTATTACAACTGTAATGGTAAAATTGCTGGTACCTCCAGTTACTATTGTAAACAGACAGAGGGGATATTCATGGATAACTTACTATTGGGTTACAACTGCAAGTCTATCAACGGTCCGAGCAACGGTTAGTCCACGGGTAACTTTGATCTGATCACATAATACCTCGTCCAAAAATATTTACATAAAGCTTTTGGCTTATTCTTCTTATTCTTATTAATGTTATTAATAAAATGATGGCAAACACGGGCATAGCAAAGAAACTCAAATTTCAGATAGGTCTATAGTAGAATAGCATAGAGAATTGGTAGTGAACTCTTAAAGTATTTTTCTTTTTGGACATACTTATAACAATAAAATAAATAAATAAATAAATAAATAAATAAATAAATAAAAAAAGAAAGAAAAATAATAATAATACAAAAATGATACATAAACAATAGCTTCTATGTCTAAGGCAAAGGACAACAAATTAGAAACTGGGTTTAGACTGTTTCCTAGTTTAACAACATATGGTGATAACATTTTGTATATACTGGTTATATTTAGCCAATAAATAGTCAAGCTGAAATTTTAACATCCCAAATGGTGGATATCATTAAAAAAAAGTTCTATTCACAAATTTTCTACCAATAGCTCTTTGTTAGCTAACATTAGAACAAATAAATTTACAATTAACTCTAAGGCAAGTTACCACCTCTTCATGAATTCCACTATACCATCACTGATAAATCCATGGTAACTACTCGCTGGCATATGCATTGCAACTGCACGTTAATGAGTCCAGCCCCCAGGATCACTGGTTTGAAATTGATCAACTTTTTTTTTCCTTTGATCAATATATATGCAATTCTTAACCCAATACCGCCAGGGAAAATGAATAAAAAATGGGAAAAAATGCTGTGCCCATTTTCCATATTTTTGTGAAATGTCTGCCCATAGGTGGCTCCGCTAGTGCTTAGCCACAAAGGAGTCAATTAGTAGACCTTGTGACCTTATCTGATTTGAATTGGTGGGAAAAATGTATTATTTACTTGTGCTATGCATATCGATGGTGTTATTTTTATTAAAAACATTATAATTATTATAATGTTATAAACATTAGTAAGAGTAAAATAAGATAACGGTAAATGGGTGAGACAGGAAGTACTTGTAACTGGCTTACGTAAATGTCATACCCGTCAGCACTGGGTTAACCCTTTGCCAACAGGCATGGCATGTACATACATGCCATGCCCATTGTGAGTTTACTTGTTTAATTGTTTTAACACATAGATGGCTACACTTGTACTAAATCACCAATGAGCCAGTTACAAGTACCGCCTGTCTTGCCCATTCACCCTTTTCATTGATTTATGAAAATATTTAAAGTTATCTTATTTTGCTATTACATATGTAACATTTTACTAATTATAATGTTTATAATAAAAATAACACCATCAATATTTATAGCACTAGTAAAAATACGTTTTTTGCGCTAATTCAAGGAAAGGTGAAATCCTTTATCGGCTAAGCACTAGCAGAACCATTTAGTAACAGAGACATTTCACAAAAAATATAAAAAAATTGCACAACATTTTCCCTATTTTTTATTGATTTTCCCCACTGGCAGAGGGTCACAATACTTCCCATGAAAAAAATATCAAGCTAAAAAACAAACACTGAACTTACCAGGATGTCTCTGGCTGTCTTCAAATTCATCCTCTTCCTCATCTTCATCCTTCTTGCCCGTTAATTTCTGAAGATTATTAACTTTGCTATCATCATCTTCCTCCTCCTCTCCCGAAGTACTGTCATCATTATCAGTTTCAGTGCTGGACTCTTCTTCACTTGACTCCTCTTCATTATCGTTATCACCCTCTTCTAGATTACTATTGCCGATATCTAAAACATTTGCTCCGTCCAATGCTTCTTCATCCTCGTCCTCCTCCTCCTCCTCCTCCTCCTCTTTACCTCTACTGGTGTCATCACTGAAATCCTCTTCCTCACCACTACTCCCTCTGATATCACCCATCAAGTCACTCATCTCCTCCTTCTGCTCCAAGTTCACATGATTAAAATCTGTAATGTCCTTGGCTACCATCAAGCCTTTCACATTTTTGTCATAGCATATATTGTTATTGTTACTTAAGGCATCAGTTCCACCTGAAAATAGCTTCCTTTTCTTTTTCCCCATAAAAGACCTATGATCAAACGCTTCATCTGTTCGCTTTCTTTTGAATTTAGGTGACATGTATTGACTTATAGAACTGCTCCTTCCATTCACGGACTTAACTGTATTCTGAGCATTTTTTGATGATTTCACATGGTTCAGTGCGGCACTATTTTGTAATCTATAGTGTCTTCTTCTTTTTGGCATTGCTTCATGAACTATAGT